GTGCCAGCTTCCTCTCCTACCACTGCTACATTGTCCACAAGGTTTCCTAGCACCTGACCTTCCCATGTCCCCTGAACAGCCAATGCCATCCCTGCCTCAGGGCCTTTGACCAGCTCTTCACCTAGATGTCCCTGCAGCTGGTTCCTCATCAATCAGGTCTCAGTCTAAAAGTCACCTCCTTTGAAAAGCCTTTTCTGACTGTCCATAAAGTACTCTCCTCCATCCTGTCACTTCTTCTACAATTACCTTATTTTAATTTTCTTCAGAGTGCTTTGCAGGATCTGAAATTCTTAATTTATTTGCTTATATGTCATTGTGTCCTCTCAGGAGAACAGAAACTCTATGAGTCAGGGGCTTTATCTATTTGGTTACAGCTTTTTCCCCCAGAGCCTAGAAGAGAGCCCAGAACAGAGGATCCTCTTAGTGACTCTATGTTGAATGCATGTGTGAATTAATGCATGGGTGACCCCCAACTCCTCTGCTTATTATGGTGTTAGGGGACAAAGGGCTGGCTTCTCCATAAAGCACAGCAGGCCCAGTGCCAAGGGCCAATCATGCATTAAGGGACCCAAAAAATATTTTCATTTTGATTTCTTTTAAAATTAGATAAAATGCCCACTAATATAATAATAATGAAGATATAATAAGAAGTCCAGCTTAGTTTACATTCATATTTATACTAATTTAGTCATAAAATGTAATTTTTAATATTTGGGCGGTGACAAGTTAAGCCCTCGGAGCCTCAGCTTCTCTGAATGGGTTCCCCCAGCTCATAGGGCCATCGGGAAGGCTGGACGAGGTGGTGTGTGAGCAGCAGCCTGGGATGGCTTGGGTCACAGTGCTGGCCTGGAGGGTTTAGTGTGCTAGGGAAGCCCAGAGCCTGGAGACCTGCAGGGTTCCCTGGGTCCTGGGAGCTGTCTCCTTTGCTTAAAGTTCTCTTATGACACAGCCTGGACAGGCAGGGTGGTCTCACTGTGTCCATTCAAAGGCTAAAGAAACCGCAGCTTAGACAAGCTAAGCATCTTGCTTAAATCACCTGATTACAGCCAGGAATTGAGACCCGCTTTTCTGATTCTGGGTCTCCACTGTGTCCCAAGCCCTGACTCTAACGCCTGCTCAACCGCAAGTGCGGGGATTCGGTACACAGCGCCTCTTTTCAGGAAACCTCATGCTCATGCTCAGGACTCCTGCATGCTCTTACTATAATCTGTCACCAAAGGCTCGATACTCCCGTGCTGGGGCTCCTGCCAGTGCCCTGGGCTGCCAGGAGCTACTTTCCAGCTCTCAAATGGGCTGCCCCCCCCTCCCTACAGGACTCCCACTGCACCTGCTCCCGGACGAGGCAAACTCCTGGCCAAGCTCAGGGGCACAGCAGCGCTCTTCTGATTTTTCTCGCCTTCCTTGGGGATGCTTGTGTCGAGAGGGGAAGGCAGCACATTGCATCTTGGAACAAATCTGCTTTTGATCATGCAAATGAATGCTCGGTTAATGTAGGCAGACTGTCAATTTCACCAGCAAGGAAGAAAGCGAGAGAAAAGGGGGCAAAATTCCCCACCACAGCGACGGATGAAGAATTTCAATGGAAAGCTGCTATTTCAGAAAATAAGATCGTTCACCGTGAATGGAGAACATCGCAGGCAGGCTTGATGCTCCGCGGGTATGTTGCTAACTTTGCCAGGTGTCATGAGGACTCCTTGGGTGGGCTGTCACTGCCCTAGGATGCTAGATGGGTGAGGGTCTTCACAGAGACTTGATGGAGCCCCTACCCACCCACTCTGTTTGGTCTGAGGGACTTTGGTGGGTCTCTGCTGAGGTGACGGGTGAATTGACGGGGATGAACTTGGGGCAGGGGGCTCCTATCCTTCCTGAGGCTTCCCTGGAAGCTGCACTGCATGTGTTTGTGAAGTGGGATCGGATGGTATTTACGTGGAGTTGGCATGAGAAGAAAGCGTGTGTGTGCGTGTCTGCTATGAATTGGAAAATTGGTCTCAGGTCAGGTGAAGTGATTCAGTGATCATGGGTTCTTTGTAATCCTGCTTTCTCTCGATAATTCTCTGGATCAGGGACAATAGCTTGGACACTAATCCTAACACTAAAATTAAAGAATGAAGTGAAAAAAGTAACATTTATTGAGCATAAACTATTCTCTACAAAATGGTGCATATTTGAATCCTCTGAACATCTTTATGAGGATATTTGCTAATAATCTCCCAACTTTACAGACAGAGAAACTGAGGCTCAGGCTCTGGGGAAACTGAATACTCCTGATTACAACCCAAGGGCATCCAGGACACATTCCCAGCTCTGTTGACAGACAGCCAAGGGAGCAGGGTTCTGGTCAGGTCCTTGGCTATGGTGCCACCCCAGCTGGCAGTGCCACTAGGGGGCCAGTGACCTCCTTGCCCCCCTGTCTCCTAAGGTTCTGGAATAGATGTCCATCTCTCCAGATAGCATGTTCCAAACTGTATTTCAGTTATTTGCTTTGTTTCTTTTCTATTTCCTCACCTGACCATGAACCCTCTTGAGGGCAGGAATTCAGTTTGTGTCTATGCCCCAAACACCTGGCCAGCATCCGGCATCCAGCAAGTGGCCTCGTAAATATTGCATGATTACATACACAGGTCTTAGTGTTAGAAAAAATGCTTGATACCCTGTTTAGGTGGATGCAGTGATTTGCTGCAATTGATATGTCCTACTTCTCAGCCCCAGATGTGGCAGGAGGGGCTGGTGGATACTGAATGACAGAGGACTAAGCAGGAGAAGGAGGGGCCAGGATTGAGGTCCTTGGGAATGTGCCATTCTGGGGTCGTCCTCAACTAATGGTTGTTGGACCCAGGTGCCACGGTGCCTTCTGGGGGAAAATGGAGGAATACACGAACCCAACTCTCTAAATGCAGGCCACAAGCAGGCGGAGGCAAGGACGACATGAAGCCCATGAGCAGGGTGGTGTGAAAGGAAGGGGAGCCTCAACACTGCTCTAGAGAGCAGCCGGCAGCTCAGTTTCCACCATGTGCATGCACCACTCTATTGCAGGTGTGTGTTAAGCAGGATCCTGAGGATTCCTCTGGGCAGTGATTGTGTCTGGTGGAGGTATAGGTGGTCCCTGTTCTAGAGTTTAGCACAGATGGGGTCATGGGTAGATCACTCCATTTGGAATCAGAAACTGTAGTACAGACTTGGCCTTGCAAATGACTAGTTAGCTGACCTTAACAATTGTTAAACCTCTCTAAGCCTTTACTCCTCAGTATAATGGTGTGAAATACTGGTTCCCTACCTCACAGCCTCATGGTTGAGATAAAGTAAGAATGTGGGTGGAATCGCAAAGCCCTTTGCACATAGCAGCCCTCATGCTAGCTGGGTTCACATCCATCTGAGTACACAGCACACCGTTGTTGGTGGTCTTTGGAGGGAAGGTCTGGCTTTTCCCAGAATGTCAGAATGCAAAAAGATGCCTTTGGAGTCAGACAGACCTGGATTTGAATTCTGGATTCTCCTTGAACTAGTTTCCCATTTGAAAAAGAGTGATAATAATCCCTGCCTTGTAGGGTTGTTGTGAGGATGAATTATTTCATTGAAGACTCCTGGTTAGGGCCTGGGACAAAGTCCGTTCTCCATCATTTCATTCATTCACCCCAATGAACATTTATTGCACACCTATTGTTCAGCAGACGGACCTAGGCACCGGAGATAGCGATTTCATACATTCTAGCTGGGCAAGAAAGACAACAGACAAATACATACATAATGTATCAGGAGTTGTTAGTACTGGGGTGGGCAATATGAATGCTATCTTAATTTCACATTCCTCCATCTTTTTTTTTTTTCATTTAACAACGTATCACAGACATCCCTCAAGCCGATAGAGATATATGTAGTACATTCTTTTTAACATCTTCATACTATTTAATACTTTGTGTGTATCTTAGTTTAGTCAACCATTCCCCCATTAATGGACATTTGAGTTGCTTCCAGTTTTTTGCCACAGTAATTAATGCTGTGATAAATACCCTTGTACATATGTCATGTAAAACTGGCACTTTTATTGCTAAGATGGATTCCCCAAAGTGAGATATATTACCCAAAGGAAATAGAATAATCCAAAGGAATGTAGGATCCTGTTTGGTTGCATTAATGATTTTTTTTAATGCCAGTTATACCAGCGAGTATTCAATTAAAACGACAGAGGCCCATGCTGTGTGTGGGCAGGGGAGGGTGCCTTCTGCCCACACCAAGAGCAGCCCTCTCCCTGTGTCATGCACTGGGGTCCCCACCCCAGGGTGACTACCCAGAGGGCTTTGGTCGAAAGCAGCTGACCCAAGGCAGGGTGCAGCAGGGGGCAGAGGAATGCATGCTCGGCCTCTCCCGGGGTCAGCGCATCCCAGTGAGAGGCTGTGCCTTCTGGTCAGAGCAGGAAGTGTGTGTTTAGGCAGATAAAAGATCTCACAGCTCACTCCCACTTTGCTGTGCCTCCAGCAAGTCACAAGAAGCTGTGTTTCCCCCAGGGCCATTGTACATGCTTTCCATGGGAAGAAAACCAACGTGGAAGGCTGGGGTTCGGAGATCCCTTCCAGGATTGGGAAATGGTGAGGTTTCCACAAGAGTCCCTTCATCCACCTGCCTCTTCCTTTCAGTTCTCAGTAGAAAAAGCCTCTTTCAAGGAACCTGGGTCTCAGTGGCCCAGAACCTGGGTGTTCCAACTCAGAACCTGGAAGCTGTAAACTTGCCAGAGCAGCTTGTGCTCACTGTTCTCTGTGGGATTCATTCATGGATGTGATGTGTAGATGAATCTGTTGTTGACCACTACACTGCGAGTGTCTAATTTCTGACCCCCCCCATTACCACCTCCCAAACCCACATAGCCTTTGCACATAGCAGTTTTTCCAGCAATTATTTGTAAACAAGCAAGTCATTCAATGACTCTTGATGAAAGGTAGACACTGAGGTCCACAGCCACCAGGGTGCACCCAGCATGAGCCCCATGAGGCCTCTTCTCCACCTACCTTCACGGCCTTTGCCCTGTTGATGAGCCCATCATCCTGAGAACTCCCGAGGAGCAGATCGACCTTCACCAGTGGAGATCTCTGCAGTGCTCTGGCTGGAGCCTCACGGAGGAGCTGGCCATCGACCACAGGACCCCAGTAGTGGAAAGGGCCACTCACCGCCAGAAGCTGTGTTGGATGCAAAGGATGCCATTATTCACATGGATATTATCCCTTTTTTAAAATAATGGTATTGGAATAATCAGTTGCATTGCTTTGCTTTAACAAGGTCTTAATTATAGCAAATGCCAGTGTGGGCTACACATCTGGGGCTCTATTGGGAAACAAGAGTAAAAAGACCAGAATAACAGGCAGCCGAGACACCAAGAGACAGTGCCTAGAGCTGGAAGGCAAATCTCACTCTTAGCAACAGCTGCTCCCCAGGAGAGCATCCAGAGCTTCCCTGCTGAGTAACAACAGATCCACAGGGAGGCACAGGTAAGCCTGAGCCTGTGGGTAGAAAAGAAAGGCAGGGAGACAGTGATTGAAAGAGGAGGTTGTGCTTTTCGACAGGTGAAATTACTCAGCTTTATTTATGATCAGATTAGTCCACATTTAGGGGAGCTAAAGATAAGACCCACTCTAGGTCTGCAAGTCCAGACTCATTGCTGAGGGAATCAAGCCATCAGCTGAAATGACAACAGTTATTCATGCTACTGTCCCCTTCATTAACGACAGGGCCAGCCAAAGACTTGGGCTGTGAGCAAAACCTTTGAAAGGGAGCACACAGCTGTCTTGTCTAAGGGAATAGCGTGGCCCAAATCCATTGCCCATCTGTGAAGTCATGTCCATAATGCTCAATGTGTGTAGTCTTGACTTGACCGAGTGCCTACCATGGTCCTGGCACAAAACAAGACCCTCCACGTGCGTTATTTCATTTTATCCTTCCACTCTATAAGGTCCACATCATTATTCCCATCTTATAGATAGGAAACCCAAGCTGCATAGAGCTGTCTGCCTTCAGTTTCCTGCTTGGTCCATTGTAGACTGTGGCCTGTGCCAGGCACTGGGGGTGAGGGAACGTGCGTTCCAGCTCCAGCTGGTCATCAACCTACTGTGTGGCTTGGGTGGGTCATGTCTCCTTTCTAGGCCTTCATTTTCCATTTGTACAAGATCAGAGAAAGTCCCTCCCCAATGAGCACCTAGTGCCCACCTTTGTCTGGGCGTCATTGAGGACGTTGGCGGGCTTCTGACGGAGGCAGGACATCATATCTTGGCTGGATGAGGTGGGACAGCTGACTTCCTCTGCCAGAGCAGCCGCCTGCTGCTGAGCCCTCTTGGGGCTGATGACAGCAGACGGAGAGAGCACAGAGCCACCCTGGAAGAGAAAGCAGGCTCAGGGCTAAGGGTCTGATAAGCCCACAGACCTCAGGGCCACCTCAGGGCTCTGCATCCTTCCTCCACTCTTGGGGGTCCCAGGACCCTTCCCAGGAATGCACACAAGGGGGTAGATTAGGACTGATCAATAGCATATCAACAACATACCAGCCTGCTGTGTGGTCTTGAATGGCTGTCTCCCTAGGCCTCAGTTTCCTCACCTGTGAAGTGAGGGCACTGGACAAGGAGATCAGTGCTGGCTATACACCTGGAGTGGTATATGGAGGCAAAGGGCTGATGGTTTCTGAACAGGGCCATGGATCCCGACAGTCCTCTGAGAAGAGAACTCTGTAAAGGTGGACCACATCCCACCACCACCTTCTGGGGCTCCTTAAATAGCAAGATTTCTTGGCTCAGTGAAGATAGAGTTGGGTGCTGGGAGCATTTCCTTTCCAAGAATGTGAGTGGTGGGAGCTGCATTCCAGGAAGTTGATCTCTGTCTGGACCTTGGTGGACTCGGGTCATCTGCCCAGGGTGGAACAGATGAGCTGCATAGGTCTTGAGCCGTGCACGGTTCCCGGGCACATCCTCTGTGGGTCACCCCCACCTCTGGCTCAGACACTGGCTGCCCACTGAAGAACCAGGGACAATAAGGGTAGTAGTAGTGCCACTCCTACTACTAGTGCTACTACCAGTAATAGTAATAACAGTAACTACTGTGGGTCAAGGACTAAGATAAATTAACTCAGGAGTTTCTCCTGTTTTAACTCATCTGATTCTTACAGCAACTATGAAAATTAGTTGCTGTGATTGTCCCCATTTTACATTACGGAAATAAGGACATAGGGGAATTAAGTCATGACCAAGGTCAAAATCTTGTAAGAGGTGGAGCCAGCCTGTGGGTCCAGACAGCTGGGCTTTAGAGGGTCTTCAGCTGTAGGACCCCAGGTGAGGAGTGGCACGTTCTATGACCAACAAGCTGTGTGGTCTTAAATGAGTCACTTCTCTGGGCTCAGACCCTTCGTTGTGTAATAAGGGCCTGCTGAGGTTCCCCTGGGGTGAGATGCCTAATGCAAACAAAGACCAGCCACGCTGGAGAGTTTTCTCTGCACCAGGCACTGTTCTCAGCATTTCACAGATATTAACTTATTTAATCCTCACAACCATCCTACAAAGCAGATGATGTTATCATCCCATTTTATAGATGAGCAGGTGGAGGCACAGATTGTTGAATGACTTGCCCAAGATCAAAGAGCTAACAAAAGCGAGAGCCCGGATCTGAACCCTATGGCCAAGGACTTAGCCAGCATGAAGGTGGCATTTCATACATATACACTGGGCAGGTTCTTGATGAAAGACAGCAGCACTGTTATTACTATCACCTCTGTTTAGTTGTCAGGTTCAAGAAGCGGCCTTGTGGCCAGAGTCGGAGGCAAGGCCAGACAGTCAGAACCTTGGCTGATGGGCAGGAAAGTATGCAAGGTGTGGAGCTGGAGGGTCCAAGACACAGCCGTCCTTTCCAATAGCTCCAGGCAGCTCAGAGCAGGGCCAGCAGCATGGCCTACAGACTCAAGACAGGGATGGGCCATATACTGGGTTCTCTGTCCTCAATTCATTTAGATAATAAGCTCATAGTCTCCCCATACTGGCTGTGTTTACCACGAGATGCACAGAGCAAGGTTCCCGAGCTGGGTGATCTCCAGCCAGTAGCTCACTCTGAGCTTCTGCACCCGTAAAAGAGGCAGAATCCTAACTCCCAGCTCATCGTGAGAATAAGGAGCAATAAAAGTAAAAATACCCAGCCAGCCCAGGGCCTGAAATTCAGTGATGGTGGCAAGGAACGTGAGTGAGGATGATCCAGTGCTCTTCACACACACACACACACGCACGCACACACACACACACACACGCACGCACACACACACACACACACGCACGCACACACACACACACACACGCACGCACACACACACACACACACGCACGCACACACACACACACACACGCACGCACACACACACACACACACGCACGCACACACACACACACACACGCACGCACACACACACACACACACGCACGCACACACACACACACACACGCATGCACAAACACACACACACACGCATGCACAAACACACACACGCATGCATGCACACACACACACACACACATGCACGCACGCACGCACATGATACTCAGGGCCAAAGCCCCAGGTTCTAAATAGCAAACAGCAGGACGGCTGGGGAGGGGCCCTCAGTCCAGCATCTCCCGCAGGTCAGCCATGAGGAGAAGTGAATTTCAGGATGGGGCCCTGTGATGTTTGCAACATTTTCTTCAGCTATAAAAAGCCGGGCTTCCTGATATGGCGAGGAAGTGGTTAAAGGCGTGGGTTGCACTGATATTGCAAGACGGCTTAGCGAACTTTCCTCTCTTTTATAGTAGTTTGTTTTCATCGATTTTTCTGAAGGAACCTAACCTCTTTCTTCATGGAAAATCGGTGGTTAAGTAAACCAGCGGCCGGCTCAGCCCTCATTTTAAAGCCCTCATCGATGGGAGACAAAGAACTGGGGGGCGGGAGGAGGGGGTGCTGTGCAGAGTCTGCAAGGTGCGTGGGCTTCGGGGTCAGAGGACCAGGTTCAAACTCCAGCTTCGATCCTTGCTGATGCAGCGACCTTGCGCAAGTGACTTTCTTGGACCCAGATTTCCTCCTCCGTGAATGGGTTAATAAGCCGTACTTCACAGGGTGGTTGTAATGACGCTCCCGGCGGATGCAGGTGAAGTTGGCGAGTTCTCCACATTCTACACGGGGGGCGGTGGTCAGCATTGTTGTGAGCACCGGGGGTCTCACGGGACCCCTGCAGGGTTTGGAGGTATCGGGCTCCCCTTAATTGGCCCGGTCATGCCAGCAGGTCCGAAGCCCTAGGCTGGTGCTTTATCTAAATCTGACCTATCAATTAAATGGCAATGAGTTTCCTCTGGGTTTTTTCAGCTTTAAAAATAGCACAAGCCAAAACCACAATTGCTGACCACTGCTTTTTCATCCCAGAGCCTCTGAACATTGTAAGGTGCCTTGACCTCAGTTAGCCACTATAGTCCCCTCAGAGCCAAGACCTGCCCCTGTCTAATAATTCGCATAGACACATATAGTGACACACGGAGACACACAGACACAGAGAGACACAGACACACTCAGACACACTCAAACACACACACAGGAAGAATCACACACAAAGACACCGAGACAGACACATTCAGACACATTCAGAAACAGAGACACTGAGAGACAGACACATTTGGAGACACATTCAAAAACACACACAGTGACACAGAGAGACACAGGCACACTCAGATGCATGCTCAGAAACACATACAGTCACTGACAGGGACATACACGCAGACACAGGGAGACACAGACACACTCAGACACAGACTCAGAAACACGGTGACAGGCAGAAACACACTTATAGACACAGAGAAACACAGACACACTCAGACACCCACTCAGAAACACACACACAGAGACACACGCACACAGACACACTCAGATAGACACTCAGAACCAGTCACAGACAGAAACATGTTCACACACAGTCCTGGACAGAAATACAAACACACACAGAAACACAAAGACACACATGTGTACATACAGACACACACACAAATGCTCACACACAAGCACCAGCCCTTCTTGAAATGGACACTTCAGTGTTTCCCAGGAGGAACCTCTCGCAGGCCTTCTACAAAGATGTTGCTAATGAGAAAAGCAAGCAGGAGAGGGGTGGCTTCTGTGACAAATTTGGCCGCTGCAGCAGAGCCCAGGTGGCCCTACCGTAGGGGGACTGGTGGGTCCAAGGGGCATCCCGGGCAGAAAGCAAATACTTGAGCAAATGCCTGCTCTGACTCCTTCCCAGCAGCTCCTCCCTCAAACGTGGATCCTCACCTAAGAGGTGGGGACAGTGACATCCACCTCACAGGAAAAGAGGGGAGGATGGGAAGCTCAACACCTGCCCAGGAGGAGATACTCAGCCAATTCCTTACCCATCAGGCACACGTTGAATTGACAAGTTAATTCATGCACAACCCATGCAGTGGTGCCCAGCATGTGGACGTAATACTGATGGCAAGAATTAACATTAAGTAGCACTCACCACATGCCACGCGCTGTATAAAGACTAGACGTATGAAAGTGCACTTAGATCTCAGAACAACCTCATGAGGTGGCAAAAATCCAAGGCGGAAATGAATCCACTCGCCCCAGCTGGGGAGCGACGGAACCATGATTTGAGTGGGCAGCTGGCTCCACAGCTTTGTGCTCTAAGAACCACTGCGTGTCACCAGACTCATGATGGTGGTCGTCAGTCCCTTCACTTCATGCGTGAATGTGAGGCCAAAGCAAAGGGTCCACACAGACCAGGGTTCAATCCCAGCCCTGTCTGTTACCAGTTTGCCAATTCCCTATGTCTTTCTGAGCTTCCAGTTCCTAATCTGTAAAGTGGGGATATTATGGCAACATTCACAGAACTCATGTGCAGAGTAAAGGAGGTAATGGATGTAAAATACCTAACATTCAATTTGCACTCAATAAAAGTGAATGGTAATTAACATTATGAATATTGTTAACCATAAATTTAATTCCTATAATTTAACTTATTGTCCTGGCTATAAAAAAGTCACTGAATTAAACCCGCCATCACAAACTAGGTTGACAGGTTGCAAGAACCTTGCGATCTCCTTCTTGGAAGCCAGCTTAGGCTCACACAACCCCGTGCCTCTACTTGCTAAGCCAAAGTGCTTTCTTGCCCAGTATCATGATTTAGTTCCTTGCCACAATGCTATGAAGATAGGATTCAGTAGGAAGGACTATGTCTTTTTAAGAAGAAATTATCTGCCACATAGAACTTGAACCCAGGGCTTGTTTCCACAACTTCTCACTGGGAGAAACTGGACATGTGACTCCCAAGCCCTGGTCAGAGCACTCAGCCTCTAGAAACTTAACCA